TTAATTAATTGAAAGTAATTTTCAAAACCATTACATTATTTCTTTGTGACTCCATTTATTTGTCAACCACTCAAGTTTCATTTTTACATCTGATAATCAATATAATGATAAGTGTATAAATTAGCTGCATACTAATGATGAAACATATAAATCACATACAACCATGAGTATAATTTTTCGGACTGTGACATTAGATATATGCGTTTCATTATGCTTTTGTTTAAGCTTACATGAATAAGCCTATAAGATCGTACCCATCTGATAAAAAACTTCATCAGTCTTTATGTAGTAGGTGACAATAAAAACATTCATATATGTCATTACCTATTAATGAGTAGGTTTGATTTTACTTTGCAGTAGCTGAAACCTATCGAACATATCATTAGGTAGAAAGTAGGATTTAGTAACAACATCTGTTCACTACCAGAAGTAGTCCAGCAGAAGAAACATGGTACGTTGATAAGTTCGTCAAATTTAACAGAATAAAGCATGACTTTTGCAGACGACAGTAGTTATTACTATAAGTATAGTTGCGAAACTGAAAATATATAAATATTTTAATTACAGGTGTTGATAAACAGTGTTACACGAATACTATCATATTTCACACGCCATGTTCTATGACAATTCTATAAATATGAATATTAGTATAAGATAAGTAATGTAAGTAGAAGTTGCATGGTCTATATATAATCTGATAATAACAGAAATTATATATGGATATGTTAGCTATACATATATACTGTTTTGATATTTCAAGGAATCTCCAAAGAAGGTGACACATCAAAACGTATTTGATGCACTTGTTGCAAATTAAGCACACGGGATAGGAAGTTATCAAATAAAATATACGACGCTCTCATCAAACCTGATTTACAGTTGTCGACCGCAGACCAATGTAAGATAGTGAGTAATATGTGGTATATTTATAGAAAAGGCTTCGATCTCTTTCGGACCCAGACATACAAGAACAATACCACATGTCAGACCCAGACATACAAGAACAGTACCACACGTCAGATCCAGACATACAAGAACAGTACCACACGTCAGACCCAGACATACAAGAACAGTACCACATGTCAGACCCAGACATACAAGAACAGTACCACATGTCAGACCCAGACATACAAGAACAGTACCACACCTATATGGGTCAATAATTTGTCCTCAAACCAACTGTTCCGACATTAGTACTCTCCTCAAAGAAAATTAAATTAAGTGAAGCAATACAAGAAGAAAGGCAAAAAAAAGAATTAATACAACACGTGTGAAAAGTTGGAAGAAGATTATGCAAAGATTTGCGCCGAAATTGAAGTTATCAACACAAAAGCAGATTCACTGATTATATAGAACAACACTCTTGTCATGAAGAACACAACTATACGTAGACAGTATGAAGCATTAAGTTTGCTAACCATAGAACACATCTCGAAACAGTCACTCAATTTCTTCACAAATGTGGCCTCATGAAACAGAAATTAATGAAGAGAATCCAATGTCGTGACATCAAGCTGAAATATGTGAAAATAGTAGGGACTAGGATTGCAAATTATCAATAGAACTAAGTGATGCTCAAAGAACATTAGCATCTGCAGTGGACAACATATCATTATTAAATTAAGAAAGACTGAAGCTACAAAAGGTACGCAGGTATAAAACAGAGATTTAGAAATAAATGTGATGCAATTAAAGAACAGAATGAAGAGATGATATCCAACGCCCTTGCTGAAATTAAGGCCTTACATTAAAAGATTATGGAGTGTGAAGAAATTATCACTCCACTGGACAATCCCATTATTACCACATTTGAAAACGGAAGATACATTCACGAAGTAACAACGATTATGACACTGAGAGTGGAATTCGATGTACATTGTAACACAATTATCCAAACCATTTTGGAAAATCTGGAAGGAAAATTCGTGGAACGATTGCTTTCAAAAACTATTATGTATAGGTTAATGGCAAAGGCCAGAAACAATGCCCAACAACATATGTTTAGCACACTGCTACATGAAACATCTGGAAATCTAGAAACAAGCAACGTCCTCCACTACAATGCAATGACAAAGCATCAGAAGCATTATTACGGCTTTTAAGCTAATACCATTGCGGGAGAATCTTTTTATATTGGTATGGTCATAGTTAGTAGTCAAGATGCAGAAGGATTGATGGATGTCCAACTGTGTCATCAGAGACGTTAGTAATTCCATATTTCCATTTATATCTGCATCCACAGGAACAACTTCAACACAAAAGCAAGAGAAAACTGTGGCTCGGCTAGTAGCATAATAAAGCCAATTATGTCTGATTTGGGCTCCATTAACTCGGTCTTAATTAACATGCTCCAAATCATGGGATATCGTATTTGTATCAGTGTTAGATATACAAGACTGTTTTGTTAAGTGTTATTATTTCGCTTATTTTGTGATTTAATATTTAATTTACTTCTCATAACAAGAGAGTTAAAAGTAATTATTTTAAAGGCGACAGTATGACAAGTTTGGTTGTGTAACTCTGTACGAGTCGAATCGTATGTTGTGTTTGCAACTACATTGTTGTCTAGCCTTTACTAATATTATTGCCCCCCAGTGGCACAGCGGTATGTCTGCGGACTTACAACGCTACAAACCGCGTTTCGATACCCGTGGTGGGCAGAGCACAGATAGCCCTTATGTAGCTTTGTGCATAATTAAAAACAAAACAAACAAACTAATATTATTGACGTCACATTACTTGAATCTTCGGTATTTTTTAGAGATATCACTTGGGAAAAGTATAAATATAGGTGGCTCACAACCACAGGTTAAGAAGAAGTGTGAAGTTCAGTGAAGTGTGCAGTTCAGGCTGAAATTTAGTTAGCGAAAGAAAACAAAATTAGCCAGTGTGTGAGTAAATAGCCATAAGGAATGATATTGTAAAGTGAATTTCACAGTTTAATACAGATAAGGAGAATAATTTGTCTTGTCAGAGGGTGTTCTAATGTAATTGAACACGTTTGTGTGTACTTTGACAAAGAGAAGTTCAGAATACAACTGTGGTTTGTTTTGAATTTTGTGCAAAGCTACACGAGGGCTATCTGTGCTAGACGTCCCTAATTTAGCAGTAAAAGACTAAAGGGAAGGCAGCTAGTCATTACTCCCCACCACCAACTCTTTTACCAAAGAATAATGGGATTGATCATCACATTATAACGCCCCACAGCTGAAAAGGCGAGCATGTTTAGTGGAATAGAGATTCGAACTCGCGACCCTTAGATTGCAAGTAGAGCACCCTAACCACCTGCTCATGCCAAGTCTGCAACTGTGGTAACCCATGGGGTAGTTTAAGTGAATTATTCACTGATATTATTGTGATAAGAGCAGAGAAAAATAGTTTGACTTGTTTTGAATATATTGTTTTAAAACAAGTGGATTGTATGCTGTCTGTTTGTTGTCGGATTTATCTCCAACAAGTCACAGACACCTAATGTAGAAGAATCCTCAGACCATACATAAACATAAAACCCTGACAATCAGTACATCATAATCTAGCTGCGTTTCGCACTTTTTTACTGTAAATTGCATCTACTTATGAACTGGGCTACAGGAGCAGATAAAATGCTGAAGGAACTTGAAAGGATCATCATTAGGGAAGGACGAAATCCATATGTTATTTGCAATAATTCTGGAGCATTTCTACTTATCTACACTTCAGCAAAAGCTTTTACTGCTTATGGATTCGATAAGTAGTGGGGGCCATATTTACACGACGAGAAAATCTAATTGGTCAGCTTTATTGGGAATAGGCTTAACATCCTCTTCTATGACACAGCCTGCCTGTATTATCATACTTCCCATATCAAAGATTTCCTTTATAAGTTCAATATCCTAACCAACTTAAATCTGTTATGTTCGATGTTGAACAAATGATCTATGTCACAGGTGTTTAAGCACTGGAAATTGTGGATAAACTGATAATTGAGCCATTTTGGAGGTTACTGGAGACAAAGGAATCAATTCTTAGATCAGACAATCAATTCATACAAATTCAGTCTACATTAATAGACATGATGGATCAGCACTTTTAAAGGAAGAACTGATATTACATGACATTGAAATTCATGTATATGACTTTCATGAAATACTCTTTCAGTGTGAAGATAAGAACCTCAATGTACATACACAAATGGTACTTGAGCTATCGTGTAATGGTTCTTGCTCCTGTTACAATGACAGACTAAGGATCAACTTCCCAAAGGGAAGTATTTCAACAGCTCAAGTCGTTTAAATTATACAATTTAAAACAAATTACATATATACCTGGTCATCATTGTCTAAAGTCGATTATTATTTCTAGGCTTTAAAGCAGTTTATTTAAACTTTTTCAAGTATGTTGTACAAAGTCAAAAGTAATTATAATAAATCATCTTTCGCAATCTTAAAACACTACATTTTATGAAGATTTTTAAGAAGTTTTGGATTAAGTTAATTTCTGTCTGCTTAGTTGTTGTTTTTTTTTTTCATGTGTAATTGATTTATTGCACAATTTCTTATGCTATAACCATGTTTCAAACATGAGTGACATTTCCAACATTACACTATTACTCCGTCCTCATATTCCCTTATAGCTACCATTCCCCGGTAGAGAACAAACACTCACAAAGATGTTAACAAATGCAGTTTATTGTGTTATTACTTTTGCTGATGTACCAGTAAATACATCACTTTCTTTTCTAAAACAATGTAATATACAATCTTTAAAATCAAGACAACAAGGTTTTGGATCTAATTTGACGAATTATGTGTACATGACATTGCCTTGTTCAGCAGTTATATCAATCTTCATAAAATGTAATGTTTTAAGATTGCGAAAGATGATTTATTATAATTACATTTGACTTTGTACAACATACTTGAAAAAGTTTAAATAAACTGCTTTAAAGCCTAGAAATAATAATAGACAATGATGACCAGGTATATATGCAATTTGTCTTAAATATATTACAGGAAATAAACTGAAACTTTGTACTGCTTTTAATGTATTACCTTACCACTAAGTTACAATATTAATAAAACACTGAATTTTTACTTAAATGCTACTTCTGAAATACAGAAAAAAAAAAATGATGGTGCTTTCAATGCAAATTGACTATCAAAATTCGGCCCAATCAAAGAACTTTAAATTTAGTAGCAAAATTAAATGAAATGAAAGACTTCATAAAGTGCATGACATCTATAATAATTAGATAAATATTAATTACTAGGTTCTTAAAGACACAATTTTAGATAGGTTTTATTTCTGGCTATTTTCAAAACACATACAGACACGCTCTTTTCATAATGCTTGTATATTTACTTGTACAACAGTTTGTTGTGACATATTTACAGTCCAGTTATCAAAATCATGAATCCAGTATTTGTAACATATATTCGAAATACAAGGAAGAAATATTCTCTTTTATTCCAAAAAATTATCATTCCACCATTTTCATGTAATAGTCTTTGGTGTTCAATCATTTGGCCACAGAATAATTCTAATGCTTTATAAAATAATGTTTGTATGAAACTTGCCCAGTGGTCACAATGCCATGACAAGATAACATGGCAAAACTTAACACAAGCAGTCATTGGCTTTGTAGTTATGAAATGAAAATTGTATATATCTAACTATACATATATATATCAGAAAAATCCATCAGTGAAAACTGTTAATCAAGGGAAATAATATCTGGCGAAGTCGTGCTTTGTTGTCTTCCAAGTTCAGTATCCCATGTTGAGCTTACAGACAACTGAAATAAAAATAAACATGTTTATACATAAATAATAATGCCAGCTACACAGAGTATATCATTGGTTCAAGGACACATTATTTTTCATATTACCTATGTTATCTTCATTTAATCTTCAAAGTAGAAACTTGCTGACACTAACCCTTGGTTCTCTACATTTTTTCTTCCCTTCATTAAATCAAAAAGTTAATTTTATGATTTATGAATCATAAGAACACAGTATCATATAAATTCCTTTATTTATACTTTTTGGTAAATCTAGAATCAAAATCAGACATTTAGTCAAAAATGTTTAGAAATTAATTTTAAATAGAGTCAGGATAATTTGGACCCATAATTTAACAACTATCAAGAGTAGAATTTATAAATGTTTTTAAAAGGATCATTATTTAAATTTGAATGTCAACATTTTTTTAATAGAAACATAGTTACAAGGTTATAAATTTGTCATAGTTTAATATACAAAATTCGTTCCTCACAGCTCATTAAGTACAACAAAAGTTGTCAAAAACTACAGTATTTCAGTAAAAGAGTATAAACTCTTCTTCACAGATGTTCCTCCTTCCATATTTTAAACTACTGTATTTTACAAAGTTCTGATTTATTTAATTACTAACAGAGACCCACAAAATAACTGCAATCAAATAAGTATCTTTATTGAAACAGTATTTCTTCAAATACTAGGTTTCAAGAATAATGTAAAAGAATTCTAATCATAGACACCAAAACTTATAAATTCAGTTGTCTTAGACCTATCTTATTTTTATACACAATATTTGTATTACTTTGCAGCTTTAAAATTATTAAAAGATTTATTTGCAATATTTTTTTAAACATTATCTTAGACTTACCACTGTCCCACCGAGGGACATGTTTGCTCATAGGAAATTATTGACCATATAATCAAGACACACTTAATCTTGAAATTTATTTTCCTCTTTTGAAGTCTTTGCACTATACAAATCATGCATGCATCAATAAGGTATTAAGAATCCTTTAAGTCCATTTTAAAGAAATAAGAGACTAGAGGGATATGATATATAGCTGTATATGTAAAAGCATATTAAGTTCCCTCTCAAATGCCAAAAGGTATGAATAAAAATTAAAGATAAAACCAAACTACAAACCTGTTGTTCACTATCACTGTTCTGAAGCATGGAATAAATATCTTGGTAATCTGAAAAATGAAAATTTATAGCAAAGTTTAACTCATTACACTCAAAATGCAAAGATAGAGTTACTTCTAATGATTAGATTTATTATTAATTTTCTTCTGTCAACATTCTTGAAATTAAAAAGGTGCAAATTTTTCAGAACTTCAATATTCTTGATTACAGAATGCTTGGCTTAACCTGGAAACATCTCAGTGTTTTCTCATGATAAAATCATACACTTAACTCTATGACACTCGGGTGTGTCGAATCGACATATCTATTGTATGATTTGTTTTAGTGGATTACAAAAAAAACAACTAATGATTGGAATAGGTTCAGACTTCAGAATTACTTTATACACTCTGTAGAAATAGCTTCTGTAAATAAAACATCTTATTTTTATACACAATATTTGTATTACTTTGCAGCTTTAAAATTATGAAAAGAATTATTTGCAATATTTTTTTAAACAACTAAAAATGCTTACCTTTGTTGTAGACTTTAATCATTGATTCTTTTATGTTTTCCTAACATTATTTTAAAACTTTCCTATAATTTTTTATTTTATAAAATTGTAGATTTTATCTTAGTTTTGAATCACAAAAAAACTCAGTCTCACTGTGTTTACAATCTTTGGCATACAATAAAAATAACTTTTTTTACCATACCTATCACACCTCAAGTGAAGTATAAAATGATAAAACAAGCTTTATAAATATCAGGAGTGTAATTAAAGTAGAAGTTATCACAAAAACATATCTTCTAGCAACATATCAAGCTAAGCTTTTACAGTTTTAAAATAATGGAAAAACAGCTTTCTTGATATGTTCAGGTCAGTTATCAAAGTGAAAGAATCAGCAACTACATCGCACCTTGATAACCAAGCTTGACTGGCTAAAAATCAGTAAAACTCTACTGTATTCAAGTTACAAAACTATTACGGCTTTTCTCCTAGAGGGCTACGAGTGCCACATCATGTTCAGAAAAGAATTCAGGAAGTTCTAAAACATCAGTGATTTCATTGGAAGCTTGTGAAATAAACCCAAGATCCAAATTTGTGATTTATAAAATTCCTTATATGCAATACTATATAAATAAACCTTTTTTTTTAACGTATGGAACTACTAGTTTATTATTCAATAAATTCCAACTAAAGTTTTCTTTCAATGTATGAGAATAGTAGTTGTTTTTTTGTTAATTTTTTTCAATTTAACTTTGTTTTTGAGGTGGGTTGCAACCATCCAGGCATGAAAGAGTTGATTATCTTAAACACAATTAAATCTTTAAAAAAAATTATTGTTGTTTACACTTGTATTGAAACTATTATTTGACAAAAATCTGTATGTGTCTGCTCATAACTAACTAGTGAACCACTGGGTTTATTGCCACCACACCAACTATGTATCCTCAGAACCCCTGGGGAGTGAAATAGAGGGGGGTTAGGCTTAGATGTGACTTATCTATATAACTCCCCCTAGGGCCACTATGTCTTCCCATTGAGTAGTTACACCAGTTAGTAGCTAATAAAGTGAATTATTTTAGTGGCCAATAAGTAATTATTGTCAGAGTAATATCAGATGAATAAAAACATCATATAGTAGCTGAAAAAGATTATCAAAATATTTCATACCATAATAGAATAAAACTCATGAAACAAAATACACTTATATAAACTGTGCAAGCAATACAGGTATTTCTAAGAATGATAAGTGTACCAACATTACAGTATTGGTGTAAGGTTAAAGAAACATTATGAAACCAAGTTGGCTAAAAAATATCCAAAAAAACTGTGCAAACAAATTTCTGAATCAAAGCTACAACACATGAAAAAAGAAAGACAACCGTGGTTAAGAGCAAAGAAATCCATGTAAGTAATACTGGCCTAGTTCATCAACACCGAAAAAGGAAAGAATCAGGTGCAGAAGACAAGAAGTGATTATAAGATAAGATGCAAATGCATCTACTGTGTGAAATAACAAAAGTAAAGCAACTGAAAAACAAGAGGATAGAATTAAAACTTAGAAGAAAGAAACTAAGTGGATTAATCATATTAATTTCACTATGAACGAAGAGGCATTGGAGCTGAATAAAACTGTCCTGGCCACATAAGGTTTAAAGTAAGATAACAAAGAATGTGTTAGTGCAAGTGCCTTACTAAATTGATGTAATAGTGTAAATTCCAAAGTAATCATAAATGATACAGTCTATAGGAGAATAAAACAGTTAAAGAGAGACTGGAAATTAACTTGATACAACTTCATCCCCTATAGTGGTGGTTCCCAAACTGTGGTACATGTACAACTGGTGGTAAATGGAATTAATGTCAATGATACATGAAATAAACAAATGTAAAAATTATAAAATTAGTGATTAACCCATTCTGACAGATAATGGCAGAAAATGATAGATAAAATACACAATACTATAATGAAACACAAATAAATACTTACAATAATAATACAAGATATGCAAACAATGTTATTTTTGGGTCAGACTTTAAAACAAATTTTTAGAATGATCACATGGAAACAATGTGTTACTACAATAAGTCCACAAATAAATAACTATCGTGGTACGTTAAAACTATAGAATATTACATCAAAATAGCAAACAACACACATTTTACTAGGATAAGACTACAGAAATATTAGAACACATAATAAACATGCAAGAAGGATAGCACCAATGAAACAATGCATTTATCATTATGCTATTGAAATAATCCCTTAGAATGAGACACAATACTGAAGTTTTTATGAAAAAACTACAGTAACAATACACTTACTGTTTAAAATAAGACTACATAATACAATGTTCATACCATCAAACTACAAATAATTTAAAGATACACCAGTATGGCTAAAATTATAGAAATATTCCATACTTTGGAAGCATAAATTATGTCTTGAAGATGATAGGTACTCTGGAAAAGGACTGGAGACTGGTGGATAATCATTAATGTAGGAAATACTGGGATATCTGGTAGTGTTTTGAGATGATGGCTGGTTTGAAGATGGCATGTCTGCCAACATACTGACTCTGAAAATCAAGAAATGTAATAAATAACATTATTTCAATTGTAAAATACTTTGAAATCACCAACACAGAACGAAAACAAATATGGAAAGACCCCTCCCCTTCCAGAAAAAAAGAATTTGTTATAGCATTGTACAGAAGCTATATTTTCACTTTTTAACTGAACATTTACTGACCAGATTATTACTTAAAATTGAAAAAGGAGAGAAAAAAAGTGATAAGGAAGCTTTTTATGAACATTTTAAACAAATGTTTTCTTGAGAATAAATCATATGCATATGTTACACAAGATAATATTTTCTAACAGCTTGATATCTAAAGAACCCCAGCAATGTTTTACTGAGGTGAAATATAATAAAAACAGCAGAACAATGTCAACTATATTTTTGACAGCTCTACCACTTACAATGTAGATGAAGTGGTTGAGGTAACTGGAGTGGAGGTAATTTCTAAAGAATATGATTTTGAATAAAACTGGTTGGAGTACTGCTGAGAACTAGAAACATCTCCTGTCGATAATGAGGTGCTGGAGGAGCCTGGTAGAGAAGACACACTTGAGTTAGACGATGAAGAAACATGAGAAGATGGCAATAATAAAGAAAGATCATCATTTGTTGGTACTGAAATATCTGCAGCAGGTTTAACTGGTTTCACAATGATCTGGGGCTGTGAGACTGGAGGCTGGTAGCCATCTTCTTCATCTGAACTAATGTCAATTGTTAGATCAATAACTTCGGAGGTATGTTTTTTCTTTGCTGGTATAGGAGCTAAGTGAAAAGAAAAATGGTCATAAAGTTTTGTTTTACACTTCCTCACATCAAATTATTACTACTGTATAGTATGACATCTATGTAACCAAATATAACATAGTTTTATAAACACTAACATATTAATAACTATAACAAAAGATAAGATGCTTTAACACATTCTCCGCTACCACTAGTATTACTAATTTCTACCCTAGTACCATCAATAGATACCAAGGAGCAGTCACAGTGTTCCAAACTCATATTCAAGAAGAGAAATTTGGCATAGAAACATAACTGTCTGTGACCCACCAGTGTGTCATGCAGTCCATAACTAAAAGCCAGCTGTGACCCACTAGTGGAGTACATGGCAGTGAACATACTAATACATAGAAACTTCTTTTTTTTAGTGGTTTTATTGTAAAAATAAGAAAAACCCAAGATATCTTTATTGGCTGAATTTCTTTCTAAAGATGACATTAATTTTAAACTTTTGATGAATGCTATTAGACAAAACAGCTAACTGAGGTGCAAACATGAATCATATTGCTACACTACCAAGACTATCAACTGAATTTACTATGAAAACAAGAGGGATTAATTTTCATAATGAAGTTTTGCCTTTTTAAAAGCATCAACTAATAATTAAAAGTCAACTTATAAATGAAAATAAATGAAAAATTATATTGTCTGAAAAACATAACATTAGAATTTTCATTAAGTTGGTTGAAAAAATAAAAAGATAACTTCTTTTGAAACTCAACACACATTTATCATTAACCCTAGAATGCCAACGTGGGGTCACTAATGACCCCATACAAGTTAAACCTGTATACCAGGTTGGCATTCTACAGTTAAATGAAATTGTATATTATACCAAACTATAACTTTCTAAGGATAAAATATGATAAAGTAAAACACATAACTTAAATGCATTATTTTAATGAACTCTATTCTAACCCAGTTCAAAATCAGTTTGTTTGTGTAAAGCAGACACTTACAAGAATTTTTTTTTCTCAAATTCATACAAAAGACAATGAAAAATTGAGTACAATTAAAACTTATATTGGTTTTGTTAATTTTTTATAGGTGTCACTATCTGCTAAACAAGTCCTTTTTTTCTAATCATTTAAATTTTATGTATTCTAACTTTACCATATTTGTCTTACTTTTCTTATTGTACATAATTTTGTTGACATGTTTTCAATTAATACCTTCCAAATTTCATACATATAAGCTTTATGTTTGTCTTTAATGATCCTCAGCTTTTATGCTCTTCATAATTTTTGTAAATTCTTTGATTTCTTAATTTAACAAGTACATTATTGTAGATTGAAATTTCAAAAAATGCTTTCATAATGTAAATTGTTTTTTGTCTAAGAGTACATAACACAGCATTTAACCCATCAAGAAGAAATTAAATATTCTGCAGTTACTTTATACCTATATGCTAGTTTGATGGTAGTCCGGTGGTTTAGAAATTATATCATATAAAAACTGTAAAAAAAAATGCTGTAAGACATCTTACATTTTTGATTAACCATTCTAAAATATAAAATAAATAAAAACACCTCATACTAAATTTGTTACTTGATAATATCTCAAGTTCAAGATTGCATTTCGAAATCAGATCACGGGCAAAATGTAATAATCTATTATTGAAATATACTTATCTATAGGATTAAATAGCTTTATACACAAGAAAGATTTCACTGTAGACTGGATTAAGCTCAATTTTGTAAATACTTTTGAGCAATTATGTACTTTAATGCTTTAAAATATAGACAAATATACATCTAACATTTTTTTATTATACAACTTTAATTTGGTAGCTTCAGTCCACTTATAGTGATATGTGACTAAAATACATTTTAGTAATGAAGAAGGCTAAAGAACTGATAAGTGGGGAAAAATTACAAGAAACATATATATATATATATATATATTGTTATTTAAAAAAATTAATTTATTGGCCAAAATACTTACAAACAATACTGGTGTTTTTCTGTACATTTGAGCTGTGAATAACTTGAGTTGACTGTTTAGGAAGCACAGGGGTCCAGGAACCATTCTCATGAAACTGAACCTCCATACATTCACTGGGTGTTTTCGTGATGATCTCCATAAACATTCTGCAAGTAAAAGTCACAAGAAAACACGATAAACAAGATCCATAAAAAAAATGTTGTCATTCATTAAATATACTATAAATATGAATCAACATATTATTTTATGTGAAATGTTAAACAGTGCTTTTAAAAACCAATATCCACTTATCAGTGACTTCTGAATACAAGTTGAAGATGTACAATAATTCAAACAGAAAAACTAATATAAATACAATTGCCACATATTAAATCAGATTCCAGTTATACATAAATCCTAAGTTAGTTCAGCTAATTATACATAACTGAAGCCAAATATAACATAACCTTACAGTAGTTCCTTAGGTAAGAAATTATTTACATTTAGAGTTCAGTTATTTTCAACAAGATGTTCAACTACCTTTTTCTTCACTTTTTTTTTTTTTATCACCTTACACTTAACATACCCATGTTTTGAATGCTTCTAAAACACTGCTGTGAACTAATGACAGGACTAAAATGAAATATGCCTTGTTTCTGGCCAAAAATAAATCAATGATATGCTGTTGAAATATACTCTTGTGATATGTCCAATGGTTACTTGAGCTCCTTTAATCAAAATTAAATGATGTAGCAAGGTCATATTTAGTTTGTAAGACAATGGTTAAAAAAAAGAATATTTCCAATATTTAAAAAGAGTGATAATGGATGCCCAACTAGGATGAGCATCATAACCAGACTTTCTTGGACCAGATACTCAGAGAGAGTCTATATTAACAGTGGTAATTGGAACTAAATACATAGACAACTGTAGTTGTTGGAAGCTGGTAACACACTCAGGGAAAATCTTGTAAGGTAAAACAGGTGAAGCTGTCCCAACTAACCATTTTTTTCAAAAGTGATTAAAATTTGACTAACTCTAAGATATGAAGGCCATTACAAAAATTTCATATCACAACTGCCGTTGAGTCAAAAAATAAATATCGCGGATGCAAACAAGAAAATCCTGCTGCAGGGGTGCTTAGAAAAAAAACTATACACAGCAAATTCTGGTATATCAAACTCTTTCAAACTTTTTTGTACTGATAGTAGATACAAATTAAAATACACAAACAACAATATTCAAGTAACTCTTAATAGATCTTATGTTCTCTTGTGGCTTTTACTTGTAGAACATTCATGGAAATTATCACTAAAAGGCACTTGACTATTTGTATTGTTTTGACTGTACTTTACTTCCAATTATTCCACCCTCATTAACAAGAAGATAATGCAACTATCTAGCATGGTTGTATTGTTTCGACTGTACTTTACTTCCAATTATTCCACCCTCATAAACAAGAAGATAATGCAACTATCTAACATGGTTGTATTGTTTTGACTGTTCTTTACTGCCAATTATTCCCCCCTCATAGACAAGAAGATAATGCAACTATCTAACATGGTTGTATTGTTTTGACTGTACTTTACTGCCAATTATTCCATCCTCATAGACAAGAAGATAATGCAACTATCTAACATGGTTGTATTGTTTTGACTGTACTTTACTGCCAATTATTCCACCCTCATAGACAAGAAGATAATGCAACTATCTAACATGGTTGTATTGTTTTGACTGTACTTTACTGCCAATTATTCCACCCTCATAGACAAGAAGATAAAGTAACTATCTAACATGGTTGTATTGTTTTGACTGTAATTTACTTCCAATTATTCCACCCTCATAGACAAGAAGATAATGCAACTATCTAACATGGTTGTATTGTTTTGACTGTAATTTACTGCCAATTATTCCATCCTCATAGACAAGAAGATAATGCAACTATCTAACATGGTTGTATTGTTTTGACTGTACTTTACTGCCAATTATTCCACCCTCATAGACAAGAAGATAATGCAACTATCTAACATGGCTGCAATGTCTGAAACACATTTGAAGAACATGATCTTCTTTGTTCATCAGCACTCAATCCACTTGAGCAAATCTGAAGATCTCATTTGCTACTATACTTTTCTACCACAAACAGGGATTTCATTTAAAATCAGTTACAAAATATCATAATAACTTTAAGAGTTATCCAAGAGGTGAGAAGTCTAGGGACTGCCAAGTCCCCTTGTATGTTCATAGTAACATCTTGTTGGGAGCAACAGCAAACTCATGATTTTTTGTAAGAATACAGTTGATTTTTTTACTTCTCCTTCAAAGTTTCAAGAGCAAAAATTCATAAGACAAGATAATGCATGTTTTTTCTTAAATTAGTACAAATACTTGATCAGTGTAACTAGGTGCAATAGAGAGTTTAATACTGATTCTGTCTTTAAAGCAGATATCTAATACATCAATTTACTATTTTGTAATAACTTTTACTACAGAAGTACATATAAATCTAATTAAATCCATTAAATATTGATGACTGTTCTGTAGACTGTGTATCACTTTGCAAGCATAGGTTTAAATCAAATGCCATAAAAAAATGTGTTATTCCCATATTAATGCTATTCCATAAGCATATTATTGGAGAGATAAAACTGCAGTGGACCAGGCACACTAGATATTTTACTTTTTTTTTGGGGGGGGGGGGTATTATAGTTCTAAGACCCAAGGATACAAAAACACATAAATAACACAGCTTAATTGTAAAGTTGATCGGAAATAAATGTAATCAAAATGTAGTTAATATTTTTTTTTGTAATCATAAGTACCCATGTCTTTCAGTTTTGAAGGCTGGAAAATTTTCAAAAGTGTGCCATTTCTCTTTGCCATATTCGTAATCACCATCAAGATAATACATAGTGTATGCTGCAAAAGTTAATAAGAGCTCAGGAGTTTCATAACAGATGTGCTATAAATAATTTTCAGTGCTTTCACTGTTGTTTTTGATGAATTTAAAGCTGTTTTATGAGAAAAATTTGAAAGTGAATTTTGAGATTGCTTCTTTTTGTTTTTTAAAGTTCTCAAATTAGAAGTTGTACCTGCTTCAATAATGGACAGGTAATAGCCCATTTTGAAACCACTGCAACAGCTGTGAATCAACTTCAGACCATAGCATAGTCTTAGGCAAACAAATTATAATAGATGTTGTGGATGTAATGTCAAAAGATAATGCAAAAAACTGTTATTAAACTGCTCATTACTTCTAACCTATGTTTACAGTGGAAGGTTTCTATAATATGTGCTCCACACATTTTACCTAACTCTTCATAATAACCAAGTTAACATAACATAATGTTTAGGGACCAAGGAACCTATAGGTCCATCTAAGCTGTCCCATCCCATAAACTAAACTAAAACTATCAAATAAAAAATGTTTAAAATCTCAAAGTCAGCCCTGATCATTCATATACATATCAAGCTTTCACTTAAATTTACTGCCTCTACAACATCTGAAGGCAACCTATTCCAAAGGTCAACTACCTTGTTGGAAGAATAAAACTTACCTGAAGATGACTCCGACCCTGACAAAATTTATATTTATATTTATGTTCCCTAGTCCTACTATTCTCACCATTAAGTATGAACAAAGATGATACATCAATGCTATTAATTCACTTTACAATCTTAAACACCTCAATAAGATCCCCTCTAACTCTTCTTTTTTAAAGAGAAAACAATTTCAGAGATCTCAATCTCTCCTCGTATGACAACCCCTCGATCCCAGGCACCATTTTATTAACACTCCTCTGAACCCTTTCCAACAATTCAATGTCCCTTCTAAGGTAAGGAGCCCAAGACTGAACACAATACTCCAAATGTGGCCTAATCAGTAACATATACAATGAAAGTATAACCTCTTTTGATTTGTATTCAACATTTCTGTTGATACAACTTAAAATCATATTTGCCCTACCATTAGCAACAGCCCACTGCTTGGATGGCTTAAGAGACTGATCAACCCCTACACCAAGATCCCTTTCTTTCATAACACTGTTAAGGTTATTCCCATCCAAATTATACTTATAATTCAAATTATGATGACCCATATGCATTATCTTGCCTTTACTATAATTAAAACCCATATGCCATTTATTCACCCAACTCACCAAATGATCTAAATCATTTTGTAAAGCAGCAGCAGTATCTTCACAGCCAGCAACACCCAAGACATCAGTATCATCAACAAATTTAAGTAATTTATTGAATATTCCATCATCTATGTCATTGATATAAATCAAAGAGAGAAAAGGTCCTAAAACTGAGCCATGAGGTACCCCACTTGAGAAATTAATCCAGTTTGACTGAACTCTATTTATAACAACCCTCTGCTTTCTTCATTCCAGCCATTCTTCTATCCAATTAGCTAACTAATCCTCCACACCTATAGATATAATTTTTTTTTTTTTTACAAGCCTTGTATGTGGCACTTCATAAATGCTTTCTGAAAATCCAGATACACCAAATCTACATCCTTACCCTCATCTACATAAGCAGTAACCTTTTCAAAGAATGTAAAAAGATTTGTCATGCAAGATTTCCCCACATTGACCATCGAATAACATTCTAAACTTTCCAAAACTTTTCCCACAACTGATGTAAGACTAATGGGACAATTTTTATTACCTGCCTTGAAAAGAGGAGTAACATTAGCCAACTTCCAATCTTCTAGTACTTGCCCACTATTCGAGGTTTTTCAAAAAGTGGTAGCAAGTGGCTCACATATCCAATCTTTAACCTTCTTCAAAACCCTTGGGGAAATATTATCTGGCCCAGAAGCTTATCGTTCTTTAAACTTCCCAATTTTTTCTTAACAAGCTGAGAATTAATGTAATCATCTTATTCAATCTTGTTTCCATCTATCAACTGTTCAAGATGAAGAATACTGCTTAAATTTTCATTAGTAAAACTGAAGAAAAAAGGAATTTAGTAACCCAGCCATCTCATAATCATCAGATTTGAGCCTTCCTTTATCATCTCTCAGAGGTCCTACCCCCATCCTAACATTTTGTTTACCCTTAATCCTTTCCAGAGGGCTCATGTGTCAAAGACTATGTCATCACGTTTGTTGACTTGCATTCAAAATATTATTGAACTACTATTTTATGAATTCATG